TCCCTCTCCTCCCTCTCCTCTCCTTTTTTATTAACTTGCTCCTCCTCCTCCTCCCTTCTCTTACAGGCCCCCACTCTTCTGTATTCATTGCGCTCAGCTTGTCTGTCTTTTTGACTGGCTCTCTCCAGGGAGCACTGCTGTGCCTCCCTGCCTCGCTGTAGATCCCAGAAAAGGACATTGGCTCGGTTTAATTCAACTCAGCCCCTGGTCTCCTGATGCTCCGACAGGCAGCTTGTGTGACAGCTCTACCAGGACAGAGGAAAACCACAAGTCTTATTAACATACTGAACATGTGTGTTTGACATGTGTGAGTGGGCTAAGATTTCTCTTCATGATCGAAGGAGTTAATTTGACGTGATCACGTCCATCTATAATGCAGTGATGAGGGGCTTTGCATGTGTTAATTAGATACTGTACATTCTGTAGCAGCTACTAATAATAATTATAATTACGCAATACTCTTATGGAAACAGAAGCGGAGCAGTATGCACCATTGGCCCCTCTAACCACCACCCATCACTCAATCATACACCACATTCATAAAAGACAAGGTGAGTGAAGTGTCCTTTCTAAGGACACAACAACAGCTACAGCTTCCACACCTAATATTAATGTGTTCCAGGGCAATGTGTAAAAATGTTGTCCTTATTTCGATGATTTTGATATTGCTTTCCAACTTAATTTCATGAACAAAAACTATTTATTAGTATAATTTAACACAAAAAAATCTGAAATAATATTTTAAATGTATTCTTTTACTATACAACTGACTATATACCTGTTGATTAAAAAGATCTTCTTTTGATTAATTGCACAGCTCTGCTACTAGCACCACTGCCAACACTAAATAAATATTGATTACAATTACTACCAGCTATGGACAATGTTGCTATTAAAACAGCAAAAATGACTACTACATGCAACTACTATCATTATACCAACAAATACTGCCACACATACTCTTTCTACTATTACTAGCAATACTATAATTACTACTACAACTGCTGCTGCTGCTGCTACTATTACAACCACAAGTCAAATCTACGTATGGACATGGAATTTCCCTCCAGGCTGACAGAGAGTATTTGGCATGAATATATATGAACAGCGATGAGTATGTTGATTAGTCAAAGCTAATTCTGCTTTGGCCAATTAAAAGGGGAGTGCTATCTAAATGATTGCATAACATAATAAGGTTCCAGAACCAAGCTTCATGGTGTGACTGTAAATAAGACAATGATCACCTTTTTGTAAAATACATTTGCACCTGTGAAGAGCTTATGCATATTGCTATTGGAGAATCACTAAAACATAAGCGATGATTACATAATACACACATCAAGACAGGAATAAATAGCCAAAGACTGTTGGACAGCATAAACCATAAAAGATTCCACTCTACTGATTAACACTGACATTAAGGTGAGAGTCTGCTACCAACTTGTCTCCATGGAGACGTTATTGCTACCCCAGGAATGATCCATGGTATGACTTTAAACATATCCATCTAGCATTTATACATTACGGGTGTTTCTATTGCTCGAAAATGGAATAATTCCTTCTGTTAATCGGGGCGACTCTCCACAGATCCAAATTGTAATGTAGTGTAGTGCTGAACCCGCTTGTCTCTCTCAGGATAAATAGCTTTAATCTATTCTAGACAAAGCAATAACATTTCCATGGAGATAAGAAGGTGAATTAAGGCATTTGAATAAAAAAGACATTTCAGGACGCAAAAACATAACAAATGAATTCAGGAATAAAATCCAAAACTGTGTTTAAAATATTGCTTCAAGATTCAGGGTAGTAAAAAGACTGCTATCAGAGAAGTTTGGAAAAATGTACCTGCCCATGATTAATTTTAATACATGCTTCATTTCATTCAGTTTAAATGTAACCTGTAAGCAACTCTACACCCTACACTTTGTTGATAACACCTTATTTGTTTTTACAAGTAGAAAAATTCCATAACCACCTTTGTTCCCATTATTCTACTGATAACATCTATAGCCTGGACCAGCAGCAAAATAATACCCCCCTATGCTGCTGCCTCTGCACCTCAGTATAATTTTTTAGTTTGCTCTCAGCTGCTATAGCTTTCTCCCAGGAGCCTCTGCTGCGCTATCACACTCTAACTATATGAGAGGGCCTGCAGGAGCGCAGACAGGCCAGGTAAGTGAAGATGTCAGATCATTTTGCCCTAGTCCAACACCTAATTCTGTTGCCGAATTTCATGGAGAATGTGCACTCTATACGTAGCAAACAGGATCAAGATGATGATAGGAGACGACAGCGAAAGTAGAAAAAAGGGTGGGTGGAGTTTCTGTCACTTACATCAGGCTGCGCTTTAACCCTGTCCAATGATGTGAGCTGGGGTTTATATTTAGCTGCCTTGTCAAGAAATAAATAAATATGAAAGATGTGGGTTTGTTCTTATGTGATTGAAGTGACAGCAAAAAAATAAGAACAGAGAAAAACTGGCCAAGGTCAGCATAGGTGAGGGATGAGTGCATGCTGCTTACAAAGAGAAGAAAGATGGCATACATGAAAAACATCTCCAGGGCAAAAGATATATTACTTGACACACACTAAAACTGATACTACTGCTGTGGCTACTACAACTTATACTACTTTTTAATACTACAAGAGTTATTATCTTTAACACTGTTTCTACTGTCACTATACAATTACACATATTTCTTGATTCAATATTCAAGTTGCTCGAGGCCATGAAGTCAAGACAAGTTAGAGAGCGCAACAAACAACAGGCTGATAATATTTACAGTATAACAACCGCTGTGGCATAGTGGTTAGAGCTTCATCCTCACAGCAAGAAGGTGCCAGGTAAGGTTGTGCAATTAACAGAATTTTCACTGTGATTTCGATTTGTGTGTCAAACAATTTCGAAATTCATATAATCGAGTTTAAATGATTTAGGGTGCACTCACAAGAACTTTAGAACCGTGCTCAAGCACAGATTGCCCTTAAAGCGCAGTACGTTTGTCCAGTGTGAGCCCAATCAATCTATGACCAGGCACGGCACGGTTGGGACTTCGGCCCAGTTGCAGAAAGTGGGTAAAATCACAGGACGGTTACTCAGGTACGTGCACATGCACGACTTCACAAACCCTAACTCTATATGATCCCAGTTAGGTACGCTGATGTTACTCATACAATAACAGCAGTGAATAAAGTCCACTCTAAAACACACAGTGGATCCGTGCTGACCCTCAATAAGGACTGTGACAGAGACAAAAGTTTTACAGCGTCATCTCTTCCTGTCCTCACTCCTCTGCTCTGTTACTATATCCATAAACTCACGGAGGAGTGCATATTGCAGCAGAAGTCATATCTGCCTCACAATTTAATAAATATATCTGTCGCTGGACTTATTTTCCCCACTAAAGCGTTAGCTCTGCTGTGCAACATGTAACCAAACAGCACCGTGTGATGACGTCATCAGCCGTGGACTGGTTCGATTGTGCAGGTGTGAGTGCGGAACATAGAGTTCTATGCTATCGTGACTGAGCATGGAATGATTCTAAAGTTCTAGTGTGAGTGCGTCCTAAAGCTTAACAAAGTTTACTTTGGGATTTTTTTTTTATATAAATAAGTATATTTATTTTATTTTTTTAATATAGAGATTGTAGTACAGCTGGACATATCATTTATTTTGGATACATTTATGTTTTTCAATGCCTTATTTCATGTTCAAAGTATATTTTATATAAATTTTATGTTTTATACATCACAAGACTGCTCTAAGGTACATACTTGTAGCTTAAATTAATTTTCAATTGAAAGCTTTACTTAAATTATCAATATAACAAATTGTTGTTGCTTTTTTTGAGAGAGAAAGAGAAAAATGCATCGTGTAACTAAATCTTTTGAATAATCATGATTTCAATATTGACCAAAATAATTGTGATAATGATTTTTTTTTATAATCGAGCAGTCCTAGTGCCAAGTTTGACTCCCTGGCAGCCCCGGGCCTTTCTGTGTGGAGTTTGCATGTTCTCCCCATGTCTGTGTTTCCCCAAGCTCTAAAAACATATACAATATGCTTTTCCTATGGGTTAACACATATTACATAAGCTTTATGCTTGTTATAATGTTGTTACTTAATGAAAAACATACCTTGAGTTGTGTTGTGTTTTATTTGCACATGTTTGAGTATCTCTTTATTGCTCAAATGCTCTGTTCTGCCTTGTTCGGTCAGGTAGTGTTAGTTTTCAGGTTAACAGGTCTTCTGTTCAGTAAAGATATAATTAAATTAACCAAATGATTCTAGTGAAGGTGTATGGAGTTTAAAAATGCAGTGGCACAGTGCACTTTCTGTGTCACCACCTGACATCACAGTTGGAACATGTTTTAAACATGTGAATGAAACTAAACACAACTTAAGGTATATTTTGATGAGGAAACAACATTAGATCAGTAAATAGCGTGAAATGAGGCCTTTAATCTCAGTGGGAATAGCATAAAGTAAAGGTCAATAATTGTTAAGCAAAACTGAGTGTCTACGAAACATGACTCCAACAAAACAACCCTAATACTAACAAATACACATTTTACAAACACAACGGCTTCTCCTAATATTGTAACAGTGGCAAATAACAATGAATTCTATTACTGTTATCTCCACGCACACACACCTTTCTAACACTGATTTCAAAAGTGTAAAATGTTCTAAAATCATGAGCTACAACACCAAAGAGAACAAAGAAAATTTGTCAAGGTCGGCGAGGTGAGCTGTGTACAACACTGCTTACACACAGATTACAAAAGAAAAAAAATCTCATATTCGAACATCTCCAGGGCAAAATACACTGCTCCTAACAGAGAAATCAATACCTTGACACTTTCTGGTTATGAACTCAATTTCTTATTTTCTATCCTGGAAACTCTTGCAATGCTGCAGCAGGAATGAGGAAACAGCACCCAAGTCTGTCCTAAGAAAATGTGTTACTTCTAAAAAACGGAAATGACAGGGTACTCACCAGAAGTACCCAGGCCTCCCCAAGTGGTCCACTGCCTCTGCGTTGGATGCTGTCACTGCTCTTACACTGCGCTAGCCTTAATTAGCACCGTTTGGAAAGATGCCCGCAGCTGAAGGTGGTCAAAGCAAGAGAGGACTGTCACGCCACAAATTTAAGTCCTCAACGGGCCCCTGGAGAAACACAGCACAAGAGAAAATGGGTCAGAGTTATCGTACAACACAATAAAGCATATTTAAGTGGCCGTACTGCTATTCAAAGGTTAGAGGCTTAGTTTGGACAGTTGGAAGTATCCGAGGTAATGAACACAGGGTGGTTCCAAATTGTTAAGCTATGGGCAGTAATGCATTTGAAATTGAAGGCTGCAGCACAAAATTATACTAGCCATTTTCACACACAACCACCGGACAAGGTGCGGAGAATCCTTGCAGAGTCATGTCCAGACCATTTCATTCACACACGCCGCTATAGCAGGCTGTTGGGAGTACATGAATTCACACACCTGGGTAAATTTGTGTTAAAAAAGTGTGAATGAAACAAAACACAACTCCACGTATGTCTGTGGTGAGGAAACAACATTATAACATAAATCAAATATATTGTAATATGGGCTCACCAATTTCTCAATAAATAATTGCACATACAGTAGGATATATTTTATAGGTCTTTGGTATGGGATTTTTTTCATCTGCCAGAAATGCCTCTTGGCAATCAGTATCAAAAGGAGTGAAACACGTGGGAACCCATCTCCAGAACTTGAGTTAAAGATCCTGAATCATGACTTCCTTGCTGGAAGATTGGCCGATTGTGCCTGTTTTAGGTTAATGGGGGAAACTGGAGCACTTCCAATATCACTAAAGTAAAACCTTAAAAGCGCCTATGATTTTGAACAAGGGGCAATCTGACTTTAAAAAATAGAAATCAAAGTATCAGAAAGAGACTGTAATTTATACAGCTTTCAAATATACAGTATAGGATGTAATGAGAGGAAATAGTCTCTAGTGAATCTGCACGCTCCTTTAGCTGGTAAACATTATTTTATGTGTGACTACTTCAAAGCTTAGCAATGAATAGAAATAGTGTATATAGCTAAATTGCAGCTCACAGTGTTATGATATACAGCACACAGCTCATACTGTATGCATATTCTCCAGAGAGACATTTCAAAGTGTCCATTTGAAAGAAGTGGGACAATCACAACAGCTGCAGTGAGTCACTCCTCTGCTCCTCTCTCTATTATTAATGCCACTTCCTCCCAGCAGCAGTGCCACAGAGCTGGGTACAGACTAGGCGCCTGTGAGTAGAGCTGCCAGTGTACGGGGGACCAGCTGATGCCAGGGTTAAGGAAAAATTTAAACGGAAAGGGTAGGGATGGGATAATAAACAATAATATTGATAGACAGAACTAGATTGAAGACAGAAATCAGTTGTAGTGCAATTTTTGTAACTGTAAAAATAACCCAATAAAAATATAATCACCATTACACCACCAGATTATGCAGGAAAAAGCTATTTATCCAGATCATTGTTGCTTTTACTTAACACAAAGTAAGATTATACAGTAGGACTACAACCATAGATTTTATAAAGAAGTGAACTAAGAGCACACTTTTATGCACCCCTACCCTAACCCCCCTCCCTCATTATTTAAAGCGGGTCCACACTCACGGAAAGCGCAAAACGAAACGAGAAAAAGTGCCCGCTTATTTCAATAGTTTCAAAAGTTTAGAACTTAAATATTTCCTCCCTGAGAGTGTTCATGTAAGTTTGGACATTTGAAATGGTCGGTAAAGCTGTAAAACAACCGGTGTCTGTAGATGAGCTCCACCTGACTTCCTTCTTCACTCTCTCCCTCGTGCTTTCATGTGTCAGAATGCTAAAACCAAATTGGCCATGTATGGATGTTCAGAAGGCGTTTCTAACCAAATACATGATGTTAATTTTCTATGTAAATGAAGTGTAAATGAGCATGGAGGTGTTCGTAGTTCGGTGTTGGTGAATCAGGCGCTTGAGAAGGAATTCGGCTGCTTAAGAATACTTTGTGAATCTGGTTCTCTCAGCATCTTTTTAAAGTGGAAGTTCTGAACATTTTTAAAGAAAAGATTCATGAATGAGGCCCAATGAGACCTAACAAATACATTATAAACCAAATGAAATATGGGTCAAATATGGTGACTGAAGTCTTCTAGATGGAGAATATTCATGGATATAGTGTAAATTACAGATGACAGATGGCAATTATGATTATGAAAGTACAACTAGGATTTTTTTTTTATATAATCACAATTAGGTCATTAATTACCCAAGTATAATAGTTGCTTTTTAAGATGAATAATTCTCTGTTAAATGTCTTTATAACTCACATCTTTTAAACAATCACCAAGTTAATATGACTGTGACATTATTGTGAATTGCAATTATTTTGGCTTTTATAATTGACATCAAATTTCAATACTGTTCCATACCTAGAACAGATTATAGTTACAAGCTGCAATGTACAGAGGCAAAAGGAGTCACAAGATTTGTTACAGCTCTAATCTAAATTCAATAGGACTGTCACAAGAGCAGAAAGCAATTATCTCATAATCATAGGGAATGTAGTGTAGATTTGACACCAACCCAGACCCCAGGACATGCAACTGATCAGGCATAACACGAGGCTGAGAAGAAGGGAAAACAACAATAACATACAAGAACTTTCTTTTTACAAACTATGTGAAAAACAAACACTTTTACACTGCCAATTATCCCAGATTTTAACACCAAAGGTTAACATGTTCCATAATTAATCACACCAATTAAAATATGCTATCATGAAGAGAGAAGTTCACCTGCTTGATTAGAGAATAAGTTACAGTAAAACAATATTTTTTTTTGTCTAAGTCTAAAAAACAAAAGCTTTGTAATTGTTTTTTGTAAAAACATTTCTTAACAAAGTTCAAGTTCAAAATTTCAGACTTTTTTTTTTTTTAATCATTGATCTTTCTTTGCAGGAAGGCTATATGCAAAGAGGAAATTTTAGCACAATAACATGATTTGTCATTTTATGTGTACTAGTATGTTTTAGTCACATGCTTTTCTACCTTTAAGGCAATCAAAGCAGTTTACATCAAGGAATCCCTCACCCATTCAAACACATATCCATACACCAGTATACTCAGACACGGGGGGGAATGTGGGTTAAGTGCCTTGCCCAAGGACACAACAACAGTATTCATTTGTGGGAGCTGAAATTGAACCGCCAACCTGTGGTCTGCCAACAATGTTTAGGCCGTGGGTGAGATTCGAACCGCTGACCTTTGGATCAAAGGATAGGCACTCTACCAACTGAGTTATATTGTGTAAATGTAAAATAAGACTAGAATGCAAGCTATCATTCAAATATTTGTGTTTTGTGAGTGTTTTGGGTGCCATTAGAGGACACCCAGTTTGGTTTGGGGTCAGTTTACTTCTGAAAAATGCTTCAAAAGGCGATGACGTGCAGCTTAAGATGTGGTACCACTAAAAGAGGCCACTGATCTCACACTGTGCCAGAGCTCAGCTGGTGTTAAGGGCTCTGAGATAAAACTCGGCTTCAGCCCAAAATGTGTCTTTTGTGCTTCTGGGTACAAGGGGAATATACAATCACTGTGTGTGGAGATAACAGTGCCCATAATAGCGGTGATTTAAGAGGAAAGTTATAAAAGCTTTGAAAGATTAAGAGATTTTACTCTGGAAAATGCTTGTCAAATCCAGAGATGAAATAAGCACACACTAGATTTGTATTGAACTTGGGAGTATTTACGATGCCATGTGATAAATTTAGAATTAAAACATGTTAAAATTAGTTACTTAGGTAAACCAGTACTTTATGACTGGACTTCCTAAAGAAGGGGTCACAAAACACTCAAGATCAAGATAATTTTGAGAAATTATGCATTTTTAATGAAACCATATTAAAAAAAAAAAAAAGATTAAAAATTATCAGATCCAATTTTAAATGCAAAATTATTATTATTAAATTATCACAAGCACCAATTCCACTGTACAGAGTGGAGACATTATAATGCAAACCATTAATGTGAGTTTTCCACTTATTTAAGTAATACTTCTAAGTTTGTAAACCAACCACAAAAATTACCTTCAGTATTTAATAAGTGTATGGTAATAACATAGTACTTAATACATCAAGTTATCCATACTTAAGATTACACTTTTTATCTATCTCTCATGTTGTTTCTCTTTGTACAAATGCATGTGCAGTGGTTCAGTGTGCAGTGTGCAGTGTGCAGTGTGCAGTGGGGGCTGAGGATGTGTTCTGATCACTGCGTGCTGGTCAGTCTGCAACTCTGACAGTGACAGATGGGCCATAGAACACACCAGCAGAGCCAGTCATCTCATACAAGTCAATCTATGAGAGAAAGAGCTTCTGTACCAGGGATTGGGTTAAAGTTGGTGTGGAAACTTTTGTTGAGCTGTGGGCAAATAGTGTTTTAAATCCTATTGACTATTGTGATTAAAATATATGTCAAACTGCACAGACATTTGTATGTATATGATTAGTCCATGTGAGCTGTTACCTGTAGGCTATCTATAGATAAAAGAAAGATTAATCATACTATTCAATAAGGAACTACATCTACAACAAGTTCTAATGAAATGAAATATAATTTAATGTACAATCAGAGTACAAGTTAGTAGTACAACATATTCCTCTTAGCGGTCCAGGTATTCAAAAAGCTTTCATATTTTAACAATTAACTTAGTAGATCCTACTTATTTACTTCAAACGTTAAGAGTCAAGGTTTCCACCTTTGCCTTTCCTACACTATACAAACCAAATCTATCAGTCTGCTGTTGTACAATGCTGTACAAATATGCATATATAATATAATTAAATAAGCAACATTTTTACAATGGGTGATACACTGCACAATGATCAACTATTGAACTTTAAACTCCATTCCAATGTTTAATTTATTCTCTATATGGTCCATAAATGTAGTCTTTGTAGCATCTAGCTCAGTGCATGTTGAGCTCCTGAGGGGATAAGTGTTTTCAGCCTTTACCTGGGCACCCACAGGGACCAGTGTGAAACCAGCAGTAAAAAGCACATTGTAAATGTATATAGTGTGTGGATGTATGTGGAATAATAAGAATATACAGTGTGCAGGAAGCCTTAGATGCCTGAGGC